TAATAGACTTAAAAAGAATATAATACATACTATAATATATAAGTTAAACAAGTCCTAGAAAAAGAGAATATAACTCATACTATAAATATAAAGTTAAAACAGTCCTGAAAAAAGAGAATAAAACTCTTGCTATAAATATATAGTTAAAACAGTCCTGAAAAAAGGAATAAAACTCTTGCTATAAATATATAGTTAAAACAGTCCTGAAAAAAGAATATAACACATACTATAAATATAAAGTTAAAACAGTCCTGAAAAAAGAATATAACACATACTATAAATATAAAGTTAAAACAGTCCTGAAAAAATAGAATAAATCTCAGTCTATAAATATAAAGTTAAAACAGCCCTAAAAAAAAAAAGAATAAAACTCATGCTATAAATATAAAGTTAAAACAGATGAGGCACTTTTTTTACTGTAGTTAAAACAATTAGTGCGTATAAATTTGGAAAAGTTGAATATATATATTTTAATAACATAACAAAACAAATACTTAAAGTGTCTGATACAGATAACTTGTTCAGTGTACTTAACCTGGAATAAAACTACTTTTTACTGTTAAACTAATCAATTAGATGATAAATGTTTAGGCTAGGTTACTTAAGTGAACATTTTTTAACCTAAAAAAATAGAATTCTAAAGTTCTACCATTCTGTTGGTTAAAAGTTCGGGTTATTGTTTCTTCTAGTAGTTTATTCATTTCACAGTTAAATGTTTTATGTGACGTTTGTTTGTTATGGATGTCGCGCAAAGCTATACGAGGGCTATCTGCGCCAGCCGTTCCTAATTTAGCAGTGTAAGAGTAGAGGAAAGGCAGCTAGTTATCACCACCCACCGCCAACTCTTGGGCTACTCTTTTACAAACGAATAGTGGGATTGACCGTCACGTTATAACGCCCCCACGGCTGAAAGGGCGAGCATGTTTAGTGTGACGGGGGATTCGAGCCCGCGACCCTCAGATTACGAGTCGAGCGCCCTAACCACCTGGTCATGCCGGGCCTTGTGTGACGTACTTACAGGCTAACCAATGATGACCGTCTGCGATTTTTTTTTTCATACACAAAGGCCTGTTATAAATTATTCTGTACACTATAGTTTTTAAGTGTAGTGTGCGTTATCTTATTATTATTATTGCAATTAGAACATTTTTACCAAATTAGAATTGTACAAAATGGAATGATGTTTTTAAAAATTCATAATCGGTTTCTTTATTCATTGAAAAATAAATGTTTGAATGAAACGATCTTCTTAAAGAGGAAACACTTTTTACAAACGAATAGTGGGATTGACCGTCACATTATAACGCCTCCACGGCTGAAAGGGCGAACATGTTTAGTGTGACGGGGATTCCAACCCGCGAGTCGAGCGTCCTAACCACCTGGCTATGCCGTGCCATACTGTAAGAACGTTAGCTTACATTTTGTTCAGACTTTATACTACTGAAATAGGGACTTTTCTATCCTCGGAATTCAGTGGAGGTTATATGATACTCCCATATGCGCAAACAAAACGTGGGCTGGGACGCGGGATAATAGTTTAACGTGCTGGACTGCAAGGTACAAGGTCCAAGATTCGATCCACTCCTTCTGATCGAGAGTTCTTCTAAATGAGGAGTTGCCTGAACCTTAGGGTTAATTGACCTCGCCGCTTAGCCCATGTGTTAGGTTTTGTAATACTAATTGATATGCCTTGTGTTAAACAATTAAAAAATCTTTAACAATGGTTTCATTATACATTTTTTTTGCAGCCCTCATACTATGTCGGAAGACGAGTCTGCAGAAGGTTCTAATAACGAACCACCTTTTTCCCCTGCAAAAAATCCTATACATCTTAACAGCATCTCAATGGATAGTTTGGATTGCACTTGTTTTGATCAAAATAACATCATTGTTACCTGTCAAGCCAATAAAAGTAACTATACTCTCGCATTTGAAGAAGATGGAGCTCATCTGTCAGACGACGCACGCCTCCTCGTGGATACGGAACAAATTAAGGAAGAAGTCTCAAAGCCAACGCTGATAACCAAGAATAGACAGTCTCAGAAAATGTATTACCGTCCGACGGAGCAATCGGATACACCTTATACGACTTGGGGAACGTTAAAGAACTCTAAACAGATAATTCGCCCGACATTTTCTGCCAAGCATCTACGTTCGAGAAGTAAAAGTCTTCCCAGCCTTGTTAAACAATCTTTAATAGTGACAGAGAGCCATTTTGGGGAATATGGATTTCAGATAAGCCCAGTAAAATGTGTCCCTGTTTATGAGCTTCACCACAGCTGTTCTGGTTCACTCCAAGACAGCAAAGTGAAAACCAATAGAAATTATGTACCTTTGTTCAAGCTGTTTATCAAAAACAAAACTTCATTAGCGTCGGATACATGCTCTAATTCAACATCAAGCAGTCGATTTGGATCTTTGGAAAATGTCATACCGTATGATACTGTTCAATCTGACGAAAATATTCTTATGACAAACACGCATAATGGTACTGGACATTTTTTGTCAAAGCCACAAAAGCTTCATTTCGAAAAAAAGTGTGACAATTATAGAGCTGATTTAGTGAAATCACCAAATATTTTAGAATTTGATAATGGAAAAGAAATTCATGCCATCCTTTATAAACGGGGAATAACAACAACATCAGTAAAGCATATTTTGAATAGACATCCAAACGAACTTAACAATAATGTGATGCAAACATCCGTCGACAACAAATTTCCTGAAATTGACATAAATAGAACCAGTAATAGCAAAAAAATTACACTAGAGAGTAATGATTGCAGCTCATTGTATTTCGAGGATAGCCTGTTAGAAGGTTCTTTGATACAGCATACCCCCACACATTCTTCTACTATTCAAGAAGAGGAACAGCTAGATACCGATTCAGTTAGTGGATATGAAACAATGAGGGGCAGTAAAGACCCTTTTGGCAGTGATATGAGTATTTTTGAAGAAGGGCCTAGCAATTTCGTTGGATATAAGTACGTCGTGAGGAGAGCCACGGAAGAAACTAACACAGTTCATAGACTTAACAATTTCTTCTTTGGTGGAAAAACAGAAAAGGGTCTAATAAACAACATGTGTGCCACAAATGATAAGAACAAACTGTTAGAGAAGTGCATTGAGTTGAATCCAGAAAGCAATTCTCAGGGAACTCAGACAAAGACAATAAACAGCAAGGATGAAACTCCTGCTAGTTATTGTAGTGATGAAACTTTATTTCAAGCTCTTCCCAGTTTAAGTGAGATACTAAACAATAGTAGACAAAGTCGTGGGTCCCGTGAAACTAGTCCTGCTTCTAGTGGATATGGCGGAAGCAGACAAAATTCTCTGGAGAGGTTGCGCCACAATTCTCAAACTTTCATCAACAACAGTAAACGCATTTCCTCTCCTGTTTTAAAAAGAAAAAAGAATGTGTCCATTTCCAAAAACAGAAGCTGTGGGACACAATTACCTATACACATAAGGGATCAAGCCATACAGACTTCTTTAATGTCTTCTAGTGGTCCTCTTCAAAGTTTAAATGTTCGGGAAGCTTGCACAGATTCCTCAGAGGATAAGACTAGTGAATATTTCTCTCCATGCTTGTCTTCTGATAATTCAAGATTTTCCAGCTCTTCGAGTACTACAAACTCTGAGAAAAGGCCCGTTGTTGTATATTATCCAAGTTATTCGCTGCCTGACCTAAGTTTTCTGAATATATTTGGTAATAAACCAGAAGAAAAAGACTTAATAGACGTTAATCCAAATGATAATGGCCCAACAACGCCTGTTAGTACCAATGAGAATCAAATTATCACTGAAAAGAATGTAGACGTTTCTAAATCTGAGAAACTTCCAGAAAAGACTTTTAGCCACATCAGAGACTGGGATTCCTTAAGTGTTTTACTCCCCACTAAGCTAAAATCCGTTATTCCAAATAGTTGTCAGGCGAAAGGTCTAGATCATGAGCATGTAGACAAAGAAGGAATTTATTACAATTGTTCCGGTACTATAAATAGTTCTTTTACAGAACGTTTAAGATATCAGAGTCATCAGGAAAAAGAGTTCTCTTGTTCAGGTGAAAGCTTCTCCTCTACAACATCAAGTTCACGAGGAAGTGAACATCCATATTTTGATAGTACAACATGCAGGCAACATACAGCTGAAAAAACCCCGCCACCGATTCCCAAACGTTCCCTTTCCTTACCATTTGAAAATATTAATCTAAAAAAGGGCCAAAATGATAAACGTCGAAGAGGCATTTTGAGAAAGTCACCTTCAGTAAGCTCTTGTAATAAACAAAAAAACCATGAGAGATGTGGTGTCACATGTCGTGGAGTATCTTGCCAGTTAGACTTAAGAAGACGTAACCAACTCGATCAGTATACACAGTCCTTGGAAAATATTCCTGAGAAGATACCTCAATCTGAAAACGAAATTAGTTGTAATAAGAATATCGAATCCCCCCATGAATACGCAACTATTCAACTCCAAAAAGAAACTAAGTTAGATCATGTTAACTACAAACCTGTTGAAAAATCGGGTGCAGATGATTCAGGACAAAAGTGTCCAATTTCTTTGAATGATCAAAACTTGTCCAATCCTGTTACAAAAGCATTCTTAGATGAAAATTATAAAAAAGATCAGATTCAAAAAAATTCATCTCCACAATCATTGGAACAGGATACAAATTCAAAACAAGACACAAAGGTTTCTTACAGCTCTTGCAACAACAGCTCGAATACCGATCAAAATGATCAATGTTGCAGTCTCAATTCCATTACATCTCCAATCCATCAGCTGTGTGACCAACTTCAACAATTACTTAATTCTAACACAAGTCTAAATTTGATGGCAGCAGCCTTACTAGCTACAAAAGGATCACCAGAAGCCATCAATTGTTATAGCTCTTCTTCAAATTCCAACTATCCACGAGAAAAAAAATCTGTGACTTTTCACGATTTGGCACCCGGTGCTCACACGAACAACAAAAATATTAACGAAGGTAAGCTATTTGTATTTATTTTGTTATAAAATATATCATTTTATAAAAATAACTGAAACTCAAGAAACACTAACAGAGACATAGAATTTTCAATGTTTTTAAAGCCTAATGTTCGGGATGTCTGGTTAATGGAGGATGTTTTTGTTGATTACGTAATTCAGAGTTATCTCTTTCAATGTGATTTTCGCGATTTATATTTTATTGTTGTAAACTTTATTTCAATAAGATTGTGAAGTCACGTTTGAAGCATTTTTACGACATTGATATAGAAAGAGAGAATACACTAAATAAAGTCCCTTTCTTGACACGGAAAGTAACTATACTGCTTTTCAAGTAAACGTCCTGTAACGACCAGATGAAGTTTGAATAAGTGTTGTTTGTGTAACTTTGATATACCACATAATATGCCTATCAGTATTAAAATGTTCATGATGTAAGCAAAACACATAGGTTCAAAAAATCTTAATGTAATAAGGTTTTTATAGTATTAAACGATACCTTGCATGTATATGTAGAGGTAAAGCATTGGATTTTGAACAATGGAATAATTCTCATTATCCGGTCACTCCATCTTAGTGACAGAGAAGAATTCGAAATTCGAAATGGCCACAGAGGAAAGTTTAACAGGAGAAATAAACAGTGAAGAAGAGTCCGACAGTCCACCTCAAGAGTTTGCTGTATCACCACAACAGGGATCATCTTCAACTTTCTCACCTTTAACACTTTCTTCTGATCTAAATACTTTTCCAGGTCCCGTGGACATTCTAACCCTGTACTTCAAATATAAAACAGGTAAGCCGGAGCATGAAAATTCAGTTTTCAATGTCCACAGAAAAGCTTCAAAATCTCGAAATTAGACTCCGTGGCTCTAAAATAATAATTGGAAACTTGGATAAGAAAAAATGGAAAAAGTAACGTAACTATTAATTACAAAATTAGTACGTTTAATACCTATTTAAACTCGCATCCCCGTCCCACCAAACATGCTTGCCCTTTCAGCCGTTGGGGCGTTATAATGTGACGGTCAATCCCACTATTCGTTGGTAAAAGAGTAGCCCAAAAGTTGGCGGTGGGTGGTGATGACTAGCTGCCTTCCCTTTAGTCTTTCATTGCTAAATTAGGGACGGCTAGCTCATGTAGCTTTGCGCGAAATTCAAAACAAACCACACCAAACCTATTTAAACTTTGAATAACATAGTTTCACTTTAGCACACTGTTTGCGTTACAAAATGATATTAAAAAAGTACACGCTGCTAAAACTCTTCTAAGGTTATAAAAGATGGTGTTGATCATATCAGGCATCATGTCAACGAATCTACTTGGATTCCACCAAAAACTATCTTAAACTATCTTGTGGAATGTATATATATATATATATGTTAAAGATTTCTTTCCGTTTTTACCCGAGGTAAAATTGAAAAGAGAATCTGAGACGTAGAGGCCCAATGCATTCCTTAATTGGCCATACCTTCTGTGACGTTAGGCTCAGTGCATTCCTTGATTGGCCGTACCTTTTGTGACGTAAGGCCCAATGCATTCCTTGATTGGCCGTACCTTCTGTTGTGGACTGCAGTTTCGCCTATTCAAGACTCATCAGCACAGCTCGGGTCAGCAAACCAAGGAAATACCGTTAGGCCTCTTATAATGGTGAAGTGTATATAATAACTATGAGGGTTTGGTGAAGTAAAATGGATTCAAAACCCCAAAGATGTCTTGTGTACTGAGTTTTGAATGTGCTTCTGTAGTTTTTCTATTTTTTATTTCGAAACAACAGTTTGGGCTCCATACTGATTCCTTCTTTCGCTAATTTGCTATCATGAATATTATACATGTAATTAATATATATTGTGTGTACTACAATCGTGATTATTCTTTACATATATTTTATCTTGAATGTTCATAATGTTCAACTGACTTTAATTAATCAAAAATGTATCTCGATTACTTTTTATGGAATATAGCAAATAATACCGGCAGAAAACTTTAACAAATCTCTCTGTCAATCACTTTACGGTGTATAACAAGCTCTTTTCTGATTAATATCGAAGCGTTATTGAGCTCGTGGTCGCTTACTGGAATTCCTACAAAAACTGTTTTTCATTATATAATTTAATGTTTGCCCAAGAAAATAAGAGCAACTTAAATGAAATGACAGTTTTGTTTGATTTGTTTTCCTTTTCTGATATAAAAAATTGACGTGCCCAGTTTTTAGTTATAACGATAAGAGTCTGGTTCTGTATCTCAGATTTATTGAACAATATTACCGAAGCTGTGGAACAACTCCTGACTGACCAAACTGATCACGAAAATCAGAAGGAAAAGGTAATTTTTATATTTGACAATAAAAACATTAGAAAATCAGTACGAGAAAATGGCCGATATCTGCATTTTATAAGCCCATATAGACAATGTGTGTCACTATATATGTAATCGTTCGATATTTATATATGCACTATTACAGATTGTGATTAGAAATATCTCAAAGATAAATTTGGAATTTTTTATTCACAAATTGTTTAGAATAAAGTCATGATAAATAAAAAAGGTACTCAGATGATAGCTTGTTTAGTGAACAATTTTGAGAAAGTTAACAATCACCAATAAATTTGGGATTCTAAATTCTTGTAAAAATAAAGTCTATTACAATAATTACGTATTTAGCTTCAGGATTGTAGCTTCAGGAAACCAATGTCAAACAGATTTCCATATTTTGGGTAATTTCCAAGCCGTATCTGTTTCTTGTTTTACAGTAAAAGAAAGGGTGATTTTCAAAGAACAATTGTTTTTGTTTCTCTTGTCAAGGTTCTAAAATATCTGTGCCCTGCTCTATATAACGTCTTAGCAAACGGTCTACTTTCATCTGAACCGGGATCTATAATTTTCTCACCATGGACAGTAACTGAAGCGTGTTCACGACTTGGTAAGGAAATTGTGTAAATAGACTGCTTTTGATTATAACAATTTATTTCCTCTGTTATTTGAAGGTCTTCTGTATAATTTAAATCCCCTTTTCTTAGATTTCCTGAATTATAGGCTTACTTAAAATATTTCTCTCATAAAAATAAGATCTCGAGTACACAATATCTTTATTTTAAAGAAACTATAATTATAAGATAGGTTATAGGTAGATCGACTGACTACGACCTAATGTTTAGCCTAATCAGTTATAGTGTTTCCACGGTACTGGATAACTGTCACACGCCAAGCAGAGTCTAACTTCTTGTAGGCCTATCTCATGGATCATAATTTTGTTTTAAATTTACGTTTATTTGTATAGTTTTATATATTTTATATCTTTAATGTGTTGTATCATTGTAGTTGTGAAAGAAAGTGTTTCAATTTTTACTTGTTATCAAAAACGAAAACATTTTGACGCTTAATTCTGTTTGTATTTTCCTAGGCCATCAACCTCAAGAGCTTCGAGACCTAGTTAAGTTGATTGATGGATATGATAACTTCGGTGGACATACTTACAAATTTTATATCTTCGTTTTTGGTCTCTTGAAGTAAGTATTTTGTATTGGTTCCCTATTTAAGTTAAAACGAAATTTAACTTCACAAAAAACTAATACAGAGTTGGATCTTCTGAAGACTTCTTTCATGTGTTATAGTGTTAATTTATCTTTTTATCGCATATAGGCCGTACTTAATAAAGGCTTAACTAATGTTAGGTCTAAGATAAGTGGACTTTGGTGTCTGCGATTACAATTATTTTGTATTCTTCTAGAAACCCTGTATTTAAAGAAGTACTGTTGCAATATAGATACTAATTGGACCACAAATGTTTTGCGGATCTCTGCTAATCATACATGCGTATATAAGACTGTTACGTCTCTGTTCGTTTGTTAA